AAGCTGCTTGGCAGCCCCTTCTCCACCAGCTGCTGGAAGGGGTAAGCGACAAACTGGTCAAAAACGACTAATTGTTGTCGCGAGAATCAAAAGGCGACACCCCTGGCTTAAAGGCAGCGCCCACGTTCATTTGATGTTCCCGCGCCCTCTCTGGATATCATAGCCCTCCCTATGAGGATGCAGTATGTACTAGTTTTGCATCTCAAAAAGGCGAGAGGATAGCGCCGTTCGCTAGTGAAGAGTCGGCCGCCCGCCCACCTGGCCAGCATAGGGTTCTATATAGGGCATTTTCCATGATTTTTTCTGCTTTTTTCTTCACTACTGGATCACGTATTATATGAGCTCCATAACTCATTATTCTTGAAAGCGGGCTCAGCCTTTAAAGGCTAAGCCAAAGCAGTTATGGCAGCCAGGTGGGCATCCTCTTCACAAGCGGGTGGCGCCATCCTCTCGTATTTTTGAGCTGCGAAATTAGTACATCCTCCACCCTTGTCGACAAAGCTACGATATCTAAGGGGGGGGGGGGGGCATAGGAACATCAAATGAACTCGTGCGCTGCCTTTAAATGTCAACGGCACTGAACAGCGAGTCCGAAGGCCTGGTTACTCCTGGTCATAATTAGCACTCTTACGATAACTTAGACAGCGCCACTAGCGGCGCTAAATAGCACCTATTATAGTAAAAACATTGTAATAGTAATAATCTTTCATCAAACTGCCGAAAGAAACTAACTTAGTCTAGTAATCTGCCCTGACGAGACTATTGCCACTTCATCGCCCACCTTGAAAGCAGTCATCGAATAGCTTCCATGAAACCGGTGCTACCAGTTTTACTCGAGTACCTTCCAAGAACAAATCGCTTACTGACTTTTCCACCTGAAAAGCTGTTTTCTGTATGGCAAATTACTTATAAAATCACTCACAATCAGGCTAGGAGGGAAGAGTATCTCCTGTGTTTCGTCGAATTTCGGGAAATCCTCAAATGTAATCAGTTTTTCGTAATCACCATTGCTTCCATTGATTCCATTCTCCTTGCATGGGCAACCATTCGAGTTCTGATGTAGAAATTATGCGTATCGATTTTTCACAAATGCTCTGCGATCTCAACACATATCTATACAGATGTTCAACTGACAAGTTCCATTACAGCAGCCATTCTCTCTGAATGAGTAGAGGGCTTCAAGAATTGGTCGATAGCCAGTGCATCGACAAAG